TAACGTTAATCACATTTTTTCAAGGAAATTGATTCAAGGCAATGACACTGTTTAAGACACTATTTTATTGTTCTTGTATGGAAGAAGAAGTAAAATATAAAAATATTTCAAGGATATTTTTATAACCTTAAATATATTTACTGTAGTTTAATAACTCTAGATCTTATATTTAAATAATGAATTATCTATCGTCCGTTTATTCCGAAAAATCATCATGTAACCTTTTAGAAAATTAAATTAGTGAATAATTTGATGAATTTTCCCTTTGTGATATTCCAAAAGTATCCACTTGCAATTAGTGTGACAACTTTTGACCTGTATATGACAGACAATGCAAATCTCTTTATTCCATTTTAGTAAACTTTACAATGAAAAATAATAGTTTAATGACTAATAGTCGTACAATCCATAATCAACCGGTGGTAATATAAAAACAAATAGGACTTTTGTTATTTTAATGGTATTTATCATTTGTTAGCTTTAATCTTTTAGCTTTAGCTCGGTTAAAAATGAAATTTTTATAACAGTGAAGTGGTTGAGGAAGAAACGCAGAGATCTCCTGAAGCCTCGCTTTCCCTCCACATGTGGGGGGATAAGTATGGTTCGGAATTCCCATGGCCGACTGTAAATAGTGTAAATAGGTATGCCTGCGTCTAAGATGTTTATTTTCATTACTTTTTTTTTTTTTTTTAACATGATTTTAATTCTATTTTATTCATTTATTTTTAATCTATTATTACTATTATTTATATTTTCTTCCTTCACTATGATATTTTATTTTGTTCTTATTTAGCTTTATATCATTTTAAAATTACCTTATTTTTTTTTTTTTTTTAATTTGTAAATATGGTGTGAATGTGCTCTCAGAACTCTATTATAAATGTCCTTTATTGAGACAGATTGTAATATATATCAATAAACAAATAAAAAAAAAAAATTATAATAGCCCAACAATACCAGAAAATAATTTCTATTCAAAGTTGAGCTGTAAGTGAAAGTTGTGTGTTGCGCGCACCAGATTTTTTAAAATATGAACAAACCATGACAGGGCGCCGCACAGTGGTCGAAAAAGGCATAAAAACGGCAAAACCCATGAGAATCATTTAATTTAGACTAAATATCTGAAAAGCGAAATGTCATATAGCGCCTAAGTCCTTCTGAATCAATATAGAGTAAAACTATTTTGGTAAGAACAATCATCGTTACTTTTGTAATTTTGTTTACCAATAAATAAAATATATTTTATGTGCAATAAGTTGTAAAGATAAAAATACATTGTATAAGGTTAAACCTATTATATATTATGCCGATTCAATTATAAATATCTATTATCAAGTCGACATAGAATCGAAAAAACAGTTATAAAAGAGGCAGAGCAAATAGGTCTACATGTAAATGAAGATATAACAAAAAATATGGCCATGAGTTAGTATCCCATATTGTTTCCCAAATGCGAGACCGAAACGAGTCTTGGTCTTGGAAACTTAGTCTTGGTCATGGTCTTGGTCTTGTGCCACAGTCTTGCAGTTATTTATTGGCTTATCACTATAGAGATATTACTGTAATTTTTTAAATAGGAGAAACCTAACTAAGCCCGAATGAAATATTAGATGAGTTAAATGCAAAAGTATATTAGATATACCAATTATTAACATAAAGTAACTAAGATTGTCAAGTATTAGTAACTATTTTACCTTAATTTTTATTTTTAAAATCAATTTTTTTTACCAATCCTGGTCTTGGTCTTACAATAGTTAGGCGGCCTTAGTCTTGGTCTTGCGCAAGAGTCTCGCAACAGTCTTGCAGTTATTTATTGGCTTATTACTATAGAGATATTACTGTATTTTTTTAAATAGGAGAAACCTAAATAAGCCCGAATGAAATATTAGATGAGCTAAATGCAAAAGTATATTAGTTATACCAATTATTAACATACAGTAACAAAGATTGTCAAGTATTAGTAACTATTTTGCCTTAATTTTTATTTTAAAAATCAATTTTTTTTTTACCAATCCTGGTCTTGGTCTTGCAAACCGATTTTGGGCAACACTAGTATCCCACCATCAAAAGTGTTTGAATTTCTCATAATTCTTTTCCTTTGTATTTACTTTTAGTTTTCTTGTTCCTATACTTTTCCTCAAGTTTTCTATGACAAAAGGGAATACATTATATTAAGTACAAATTTAAGCCCCCAAGTAAAGGGCCTTTGGGGTTTGGACCAATCTTCCACCCGAAGTATAACTGATTCAAAGACGATTAAATTGCCTCGGAACTGGACAGTCTACTGGTAACAGACACGGCATGGATAAGGACATTCGACTAGGTATATGGAAAATCAAGAACCTTTCTGGTTAAGAGATCGAACTTGTAGCCATATTCAAGAAGTATAAAGTGGACATTATAGATCTCAGCGAAAATTACTATAAAAAATTATAAATTTAGCAAACAATTTCCAACATGGATCAATTTGGATACGTAACTTAACAAACTCCGTTTACACTGTCAAGCTAGGCGACCAAATTGAATTCATCCACGTAACTGAACGAGAAACTTAACACTGTGTTCGCATTTAATCAAAGCAACATCAGCTGCATATCCAAGAATTTTATTATTAATTCCGATGTGCACTCTCACCTATTTTCTCGTATTGTTCCCATCGCATTATCCAGGACCACGTTGTACAGCATCAGCTAGAGTTCATCTTCCTGCCGCAAGTCAATTTGAATTTCAGGCTTTACACACTTTTATTTATTTTAGAGCCTCAAATTGAGGATCATTTAAACACGGTTTCCTAAATCTAATCAACTTCTCGGGAACTCTCAGATCTTTCAAAGACAATTTTTGTCCATGGATTCGTAGGCTGCTTTGAAACAGAAAAATAAAGCATGGACTTCCTAAATTACTTTCCATAGTTTTTCGATCACCTGTTTGGATGAGAACCTAGTCTAGAATTTTAAAATGAGTTTTAGATTGAAGATTATGGTCTTTCTCCTTTTGAATCCAACTTGGTGGTCGACTATTAAATTTTCGTCACTATTATATATTCGGTTTAGCAATGAATATAAATTTCTTATATCTATATAAATAAAATAAAGGTTTTGTCTGTACATTGTATAGAATCAACCCGTTTCATGATATCTTTACGTTTCATATATTACAGACACCAAATCCACTTTTTAAAAAATTTTTGTATGTCTGTACGTCCGCATTGTCCAACGAAATTTTGTCAGGGATAAGCTCAGCAACGGCCAATGGTAGACTTTTGAAATTTTTACATTATATATAGGCTTGCTTGACTTAAAACATAATCTTTAAATGAAAACAAAATATTGAGTAGAAGCAAAGTTGTGAATTCTTGAGTAATTCGTCTAGAGATCCCGGTTAGGCAGTTACTTACTTCGCTTTCCATCCCGACCTACTCTACCGCGAGCCGCATTTAAAAGTTGAACTATTCAACTGATGGACAAAATTATCACAACTCAACGGGAAAAATCCAAAATACTGAACATCTGTAACGCGTCGTTGGTTAAAATAACGGTAAAACACATTCATTTTTCAACTTTGTCCGATCTTCCCGTTTCAGAAGTCATTCGATTCAACTTCCCGTGCATAACAAATGTATACATTTTTAGGATTAACCAACGGATTAGCCGGAAATCGGGGAAAACCGCACAAAAATTTCATCTCACCCGCCACAATATTCTATTCAAGTTCAGATTTTACACAGTGACTCAATGTCCAATGTTATTTCAGTTATTTTTCATTTTTTCAAGTTTATTCTTCAGTTCAATTTTCGGGTGCATCAGCTAGTTTATAAATAAGTACTTAGAACAATAGTCAATGCCCCCATATTATGTCACAAATAACATACTACACCATGTCCTTAACATCCCATATGTCCTCGACAACATCCCATCCAGATTCTCAAACTTTCATCAGAACCTTATCCATCATCCAAATCGTCTAGCTCAATCCCTATCCAGCACCCTTCATCCCTACAATCCTCCACGAAGGTTAAAACGGCAGTGGCCCAGAGATCTCTTGTAAATATGCTTCTGGAGTCATGACAATGGCCAGCTTCACCACTCATGTCCTGAGCGTCTGTGGATCTAGTGCCATCTTTCAGTCTCCACTGGCTTCTAATACTAGTGATGCGGCTGGAAAAGTGTCACTGGGATCTCCTGGAGTCTTGCTTTGCCTTCCACATGTGGGGGAAAAAGCCTGGCTCGGAGATTCCTGGGCGAATGTGTATATTGTATATAGGTATGATTATGTTTAGAATTAGAAGTTTCTATTTTATGTTATTTGTTTACTTTTTTTTCTTATTATTTATTTTCTTCATCAGTATTATTTATTTACTTTTTATATTTATATTTATTTCTCTATTATTTGTATATATTGTATGAATGAGAACTTTTAGCCCTAATACTTGTAGCCCTCCAACAGTGGCTGATTGTATTATCATTCAATAAATAGATTATTAAAAAAAAAGTTTGTAAATATGACTGCTTAATTATACTACTAATAAACATTTATCAATACTATAATTAATACGTTCAAAATTAAAAAAAAAAAGACCTTAGCTTGGAAACATAAATACATCAACAATTCTGAACAGTCATATAAACTTCCTACGTGTTTTATTTTCAGTATAAATATGACCCCAATCGATTGTTGTATTTTCAAGCAAACATTCATTCCCGTTCGATCAGTTGAAACGTGAGTTTCTGGGCCAGATTAATACAAGTAATATGGCAGTGATCACACCCTCCCAGCCAACTATCAGTAAGGTGGATTTGGTTTTCAACGACATATACAAATTTTCTAGACTTTTCGGGACATTACCGATCAGTAACGACTATTTCAGTATTTCTAAATTGAACCTGGCAAAGAGTGTCATTTTGTATCTCTCATCATGTGCATTCGGATTGATTGTAACTTACAGGTATATGTTAACTGAAGAAAGTCTTGCACAAATATTAACTTATTCGCTTCAAACCATGCCACCCATGGTGTTCTATTGGATACACTTAACCTGGATGATCAAGAACAGATGCCTCTTGAAGGAACTGTACGAAGAGTTGAAGGAAATCGAGTACTCCTTCTGCGAAAACGGCATCAGCTGGTTCTACAAAGCAACATGGAGAACCAAATACCTCAGTATGACTGTATTGACGATCAGCGGTTTCTTGTGGGATGTAGTTTATGAATTCCGATTTTTTGATGATTTACCGTATTATTTTATTTATAATGCTCTCCTCGACGTAATTATTCAGTACGCCATATTGATACAACTTTTACAATCAGTCCAAGGAGGTATAAGATCCATCGGAGAAAGTAAAACTGTCATCAGGCTGTCTGATAAACTATTAGCTCTATGTCAAAAGGTCAATACCCTTTATGAACCGCAGCTTTTGTTTTACATCTTCGTTATATACGTCCTCATCCTTTTCACGATTTATATTGAAATCGTCAGAACAGAACCGGGGTTAGAAATCTGTACATTTTGGATGGTGTCGTTCATGTATCCTCTTGTTCAAACAATCATGCATATTGGAAAATTTTCACAGGAGGTATCGATTTCAATTCATCTTTATTTTTTTTTCTTATTATTATATTTATATCCCACACAAAATGAAATCCCACACCAATTCCATAGGACCAGATGGCATTCCTGTCAAGTTGATAAAATTATGTCTCCCCGAAATCCTCCCAGTTCTCCTTTTCATTTACAATTTCTCCCTACAGAACTCAATATTCTCTTCCTCTTGGAAAAAAGCCATTGTATTCCCTTTAAATAAAAAGCCTAATCCATCCTCTCCCGAAGACTTTCGCCCAATCTCAATTCTTTCCAATCTCTCAAAACCCCTAGAAAGATTGGTGCAATCCCAAGTTTCCAATTTCCTCGAAAACCAACTTGATCCTCTCCAATCTGGTTTCCGTCCCGGCTACTCCACACAATCCGCCTTAATCAAAATTACCAATGATGTTCAGACTGCAATAGATAATAAACAACTAACCGTCCTTATACTTCTTGACTTCTCTAAAGCCTTTGATTCCATTAACCATCCCATCCTTTTCAACAAACTAAAATCACTCTCCTTCTCCAATAGCTCCATCTCTTGGTTCCAATCTTTTCTATCACAACGCACCCAAGCAGTCTCCATTCCTAATCAACCACTATCTGCCTACCTGCCTTTATCCTCTGGAGTTGCCAAAGGATCTAGCATATCTCCTCTCCTTTTTAGTTTCTATATCAATGACCTCCATGACTCAATGCTCCATTGTTCCCACCATCTTTATGCAGACGATTCTCAAATATACCTATCCTTTTCTCCCCCTGAGCTATTGGTAGCATTTACTAAGATCCAAGCAGACCTAGATCGAATCTGTGCCTGGGCAAAATTAAACGGATTAAGGTTAAATGCTTCAAAAACTCAGGCCATTGTCATTGGTTCCAAGCCCCTCCTTAGATCCTATACGGACTTTCCCATACTAAACCTTGGTGACCAGCCAATCTCCTTCTACTCCTCTGTAAAAAATTTAGGACTATTTATTGATCAAACCCTCTCCTGGAGTCACCATATTTCTCACATCTCCCGACGGACAGTTTCTACCCTCAAACTATTCTATTGCTTCCGCCATCTCCTACCTCAACATACGCGCAAACTCCTCGTTTCCTCTCTCATCTTCCCCCAATTTGACTACTGCTGTGTGGTGTATGATGGACTCTCGGTGGAGCTCCGCGACAGACTGAAAAGAATAATGAACAGTTGCGTGAGATTTGTAATTGGTGCCCCGAGATACTACCATGTCTCTCACCATTACACTGAGTTAGAGTGGCTCTTCCCCTCCTTTCGAAGACAATATTTCCTAGGTACATTCCTCTATCATATCATCAACAATCATCGTCCTTCCTACGCCTACAACCTTCTCCAATTCAAGTCCTCAGTCCACTCCCTCGCCACAAGATCTCGACCTTCCGACCTTTACATTCCTTCTCACAGATCTGCTTCGTTCCAAAACTCCTTTATTGCACGTTCTGTTAGTTTCTGGAATCCCCTTCCTATCAAAATTCGACATTCTTCATCCTTATCTACATTCAAAACCCTCCTATTCCAATTCCTGTCCCAAAAACAGTCAGATACTTGCTAACCATTCGAGCGGATTTTCATAGAGAATTTGATACATTTTTATTTTTTATTTTTTTCGGAAAAGTGTATACTGGTCTATAAGAGCAAATAGCTTTAAGTGTCTTGTCATAGTATTAATGGCACCAGCTAATCTTTTATGTAAAATTACATATTATCTATAAGACCATATTCACATATAGCTCATGACCTGAATACTTATTATAGATTCGACTTTCTTTTTCTCTTTTTTTTTTTTTTTCTTTTTCAACAGAAACAGATTTTACTGTTAAGAAGAATATACATTTATTTTTTCTGTATTTTTTATTTTTTCTAAAAGGGTTTATTTATATTTTAACATTGTACATAGTTTTAAGTATCTTGGTATGGTTTCAAGAGTTTTTTATATAGATTTTTTTATTTTATTTTGTATATAGTATGTATAACCAATATTTTTTTCTTTTCTTTTCTTTAATGACCTATCTTTATCTTAATTTGTTATGTTTGTTTTTATCTGGCCAGATGTAAAATTTTAATTTCTGTACTTTTTTGTTATTCTGAAGGGACTTCGTCCCAGAGTAAAATTATTTTTCTATTCTATTCTATTCTATAAATATTAAAATCTTGAATTTAAAGGCTAACATATTTCGTTTTACGATCATCCAATGTAAAAGAGAATGAATAAATATAAAAAAATTTAGTTAAAATAATGTATAGCGAATGATTGTCAAAAGTTTAATTATTGGTAAAGATGCGATACCGAGATTTTGTAAAATTTTTAAATATTTAATAAATAATATATAAAATATTTTATTTATCAAACCTTTAAGTGGTACGATCATTTTTTATTTTATAATTAATATGACTACTATATTTCTATAGGTAAAGAAAACAAACAAGATGTTATATCGAAGATTACTTTATAATTTAGAAGACGTGAGTATTATTTACTTTGCTTTGATATAAATGATTTGCCTTTAAATAAACTATATGTTACATCATTGTTTTTTTTTTATTTTAGGAAATATTACAGTTCCATTTATTGGCTAATAGAGACATTGTTTTTACAGCTGGTGGATTTTTCATTATTGAAAATACCTTGATTTGTACGGTAATAAACTTCTGTTGATTTACTTTTCCATTAATGAACTTTCATAATTGACCGAAAAAACAGAATTTAAACTCTTCTTCACTCCTAAATTTTAGGTTTTAAGGTAAAATTTAAGAATCTATCGAGGTAGGTAAATATATTGAACACAGAAGTTCTCGACAAAGCGTGGTCAAATAGGAAAATGGAGCTAAAAGAGGAAGAGGCAAAGAAAGGATGACCTTAAGTGTCGGGCGGATGAGCACCCAAATCACTCTTGATCGGCGAGCTGAGGGGTGAGCCTTAAGACATTGCAGGAAGGACACCACTAACGAAGGGATGTGCCATCAGACTTGATATACAGGTCTGCAAGAAGACGGCTAAGCTTTTACACCTTGTATGGAAGAGAGAAAAGGATATATGGTTAAGGAACATGATATAAAGAAATGGTTATATTGATATGGTTCCAAAAAGTTTTTTTTTGCTATAAAACTATTATTTTCGCCTGTCAAATATTTATTAACAATCAGCAAATGAGCAAAAATTATATATAAAATATACTGATCAATTGCCTATATGTGTGTTGAAACTGGTCGACTCCCTGAAGGCAGGAGAAACAATTCTGAATAAACGACTTTAGAATGGCTAGTAATATATACGCCTTGATATGGCTAGCAAGAGTCGTATGATGTGTACAGTTATTTTTAAGCTTTGAACATTATATCTTATTACCTTAATATTTTATTATTAAAAGTATTCATAATGTATATACATATTTACAAGATAGTCCTGCAGTTTTTTTTTTTTATATTAAAATAATAAGAAATAAAAATATAACTACTAAATAAAATGTTTGAATATTGGAAAAGTTTCAGAGATTTTTCATTAAGAAATTGTTTTCGTTGCCTCCAACGACACCAAATAATAATAATAATGCTTTATTTATTCTGGGATGAGTCCCTTCAGAATAATACAGAGAAACAAAAATGTGGGCTAAGGAGCCTCAGAGATACATAAACAACAGTATAGTTTGATTAAATAGTAAAAAAAAATAAATAAATAAATATTTAGAGAAATTATAAGTTACTTTCTAATTTACATCAGTTAATAATAATAAAAAAAAATTGAAAGTAAACATGAAGTAAAAATAAAAAAGAAAGATCTAATAATTTATATACATATTTACAGTAGTAACTATTTACAATTTTATGATGAGGACTGGATGGATAAGAAATGATTAAACAGTTGGGATTTAAAGGTAGGAAGGGTTTTGGATTGACGGATGTGGGGAGGGATGGAGTTCCATAGGATCGAATAATAAAAGATTTATCGAAAGCAGCGGTTTGGTGGGTCATTATATATAGATCTGAGGACCGGGAACGGTTATTGGGCGAGTGGACAGAGGATTTAAATTGAAGGAGCTCGACGATGTATGAAAGACGGAGGGAGTGAATTACTTGGAAGAGGAAGGATGCCAGGAAATACTTAGGACTGTTGGAAGGATAAAGCCACTTCAACTCTTCATAGAAACAGGAAACAGGGGCGTCTCTTGGGATTCCGAAGATGAATCCTACAAAGCAATTTATCAAACATTTTAGTTTCGCCTCGTGATTCCCAGAGACGCCCCCATATACCGTGCAGCAATAGTCGAAATGGCGAAATATTAAAGAGGTGACCAGGAGTCTACGGATTTCAAAAGGAAAAAGGTGTCGAAAGCTATTTAAGTGTTTTAGGGTGGAAAAGGTACGTCGGGAGATATTGGACACATGGTTTTTCCAGGAAAGGGTTTGATCAAAGATTATTCCAAGATTTTTGATGGTGGGATAAAATTTAATGGGATTATCTTGTAAAAAGAGGGTTGGAAAGTTAGGAACAGTTTTGAGGAGGTGATTGGAGTCTATTAGGATTGCGTTGGTCTTTTCCGCATTCAACTTCAACTTGTTAACTCCTGCCCAGTCATAATATGATTTATTTAGAAACAGCCACAAACCCACTTGAGGTATTCACTTTGCAGTTGCATTTTAAGTATTGTCTTGAGTTACTGTGCCTGCCTGAAAGTCGTCTCTCCATAATTATCGCCGTTGAAGTGAATACAGGTTATACCGTTTGGTTTAAAAATTGGTGCAATTTGGCGGAAAGACACTCAAGTTCGACAGGTCTTTGGAATGTTTATCGTTATGGGAAGACCAGCTGGCAACAATACGGTCTGCAATCACTCAGCAACATTGAGAGTAGTTTAAATTAGCGGCATTGAATTCTGGTCGATTTCTATTGTATAGAGAATTGAGTCACGATCTTAAAATTTTGAAATTCGTGGATGGCTACTGTTGGGATTTGACAAGGAGTGAGTTGAGTTGGTTGTGTGGACTCCTTTATTTGAATTACATCAGATGGCTTTATGGGAAAAAAAATTTAAGAAATATCTCATAAAGAATTATTGTTCGTGTAATTACATTTAAAAGTACTTAAGGAATAACTTAAACACCATTTCATATAGGTAGTTAGTTTCTTTCTGTTTTTCCAAAGTAATTATCCTTATTTTTATGAAAAAAAGGTTTCGGGCTGAAGCCCCTCCCCAAAATTAAATCCTGGATCCGCTAGTGCATGGCTTGACAGGGAATATGCATATTGGCCACTCTGTAACCTACCATAAAATCACCCTCCGAAATGGTAAAAAACCCCTCTCCTTCCTGGTCCCTGATTTATTTATTTTCCAGAACTCTCATGATTTTATCCAGTCTATGCTAAATAGTTTTTTTATTTAATCTTATCTTTACTTTTGTTATTAAATCCCACGAACGGAATATGAACATTTGACATAACATTTATGCAGGCACCTTAACTCGCTTGACCACGTTTTTAGGGGGCACCTGTAGTCTTCCATCCAGATAACGTGACCGATTCATTTTAGTCTCTGCAGCTTGGCGAAGTTAGAGATACTCAAAACCTGGCATCCACTAGGACAACTTGCATTTCGGCGTAGATGCAGAGCTTCATTGTCTTTGATTTGTCCAGAGATGCGTCTGAGGATTTTCCTCTCAAAGCGATCAAGCCTTATCAAGATACTGACTTGTTGAACTTCCACGTTTCACATCCGTAAGTCGCTATTGTCACTAACAGATCCAGGATTTAATTTTGGGAGGAGCTTCAGCCCGAAAGATTTTTTTTTTTTATCAATATATTACCATAATTACTTTGGAAGAAAGAAAGAAACTGAGTAGCTATTTGAAATGACGTTTAAGTGATTCTTGGTGATAAGTCCTATTAAATGTAATCAGATGAACAATAATACTTTTAGAGATAGTTTTTTTCATAAAAAATGGTTATATTTTTCCATTTTGGGAGGGGGAAGGGAGTTCAGCCCTAAAGTCCCTCCCCCCTATTGGTATTATAAGACATTTGTACAGCCTTATTTTTGTAGCGCGACTTAGTAGTGTGCTTTTAATCTGTATCTTGTTTCAGCTTTATTTCCTATCTTTTCTGTTATTGTAGCTCCTAGAAATTGGAAGCAAAAGCATATTCCTCTAATCCAACTTGTTGTTCTGGATCATAAATAACATAATAATGAAAGTAATTTTTCTTTCCTTTTAATTTTCAATTTTAACTTTATTTAGATTATTTTATATGTACAAGAGACTTGGAAAGGTCACAAGAAACGTTGACCGGTTAATCACTAAATTTAAGAGGCTTGAGACTTTGTTTTTGGAATATTTCAATAATATTATAAAAATAATTATTGTGACTTTTGTATTCTAAGCTTAATTAAGAGTCAACTAAAACACATAATCTTAAAAAGAGATAAAACTTAAATGTCAGGATAGTGTGGAGCCACTGTCTATAGTTGTCTTATTTTAACTCTCGATAAGAGATCTGTAGGAGTTGGTCTGCACTTAATAATAATCCTGGATGTTTCAGTTCTGATTATGCCTAAATTGGTGAAACATTGACCGTTAGTTTGTTCATCTGAATTTTAGGCACGCAACCCTTCCAGTTTGAAATCTTTTAATTATATCAGAAACATTTTAATTTACTTTTTAAAATTTTAAATGTTATTTTATCTTTTTTTAATACATCTTTGTGTTGTTACTCTTGATATAATTGAAACCAAAATATACCAAATAGACTTATTTTAAATAATTTTAAATTTAAAAAGAAAATTGGTTTGTTTCAGATGATTACTACTGGAATAAACTATTTAGTATTTTTTATTCAATACATGTAAGAAGCATAATATGAGAAGACCTTTAACATAGACTACTGAAGTTATATGTACAGCATTAATGCAATATTGATAGCAAAACTCATTAATTGTCATGTTCTGAACTTATTCAGTAAAACGTTAAGAATTAAACACATTTTTTTTTATAGCAAGAAATGAAAAAAAAACTTAAATGTACTGAGGTGTATAATTTCCAAAATATATTGACTACAGGAAAAAAATAAATATTAAATCCTGTGATGATAAAGTAGTATAAAATATGATGTTAAAAATATATAAACTATTTTTTTTCATGCACCTAAGATCCTCTCATACTGCTCAAGGGACTCCTATAGCTCTTCTTAGTGAAAGTAAAGGGATATGTAACAATTAATTCTGAGCTATGAGTAATTTTTGCTTTATGAAATAATTTTCCATAATATTAAACCCATTTAATGAAAAACACTACAATCATAACAAGCATGAAAAAAGAAAACATAATTGCAAATCGCAAAAGCTATTTTGGAAAGTGCAAATGACCGTGTAGGGTCCGCTTAACATTTAGAGAAGTATCAATAAAAAACCGTTGGAAGAAGCTGGTTAATCAATATCTCATGATATGAAGATAAGGAGATTAAAAC